AGATGAGACAAAATAGCGCTGCGAATAGATTTTGTTTGGCCTTTGCTTAACCATGCAGGGTGATGTTCGAAAATTCGACGAGAAACACGCCTAATTGTACGGCCTATGTAACTGGCTCCACAGGAGCAGTTAAATTGGTAGATACACATGGATGAGGCGAAATTAGGCTGTTTATCTTTTACTCCTGAACGCTGAAGAGGAGTGGTTATAAAGATACAACGTAGTTCAGCAGCAGGGAATGCTATTTTTATCGCATTTCTAATGCTCTGTGTTAGTATCTCGCTGGTGTTATCCCCAAGGAACAAAGAATATTCTTTGCTGGATTATTTTGCGTTGTATAGATGTCTGAATCAATATTTTTGCCATATTATCACACTTACGACGTTTTCAACCGTAACATCACTGTTACCTGTGACACTTTCAGTAGTCCACAGTTTTCGCAAACTAGTCAAGTACATCAGAAAACGTTCTACCTTTTAGATAATGAGCAAACTTTGATTTATTTTTCTGAAATTATTGGGATGTAGCTTTACAAAGTGATGCTCACTATTCATATGTGTTACCTGTAGTTCAAACATACATAACCAGAGGAAGAAATAATAAAGTTCATCAGTCTGAACTAATTCTAATGTTCTGTTGTTAGTGTGTGATCAACTTGAAAACCCGATTACTGTTTAGTGAAAAGTAATCCATACAGATGCATTTTTACTTAGCACATATTCAGATGGTATCCTTAAAATCTAAGCTTTTAACTGTTCACTTTAAAATAAAATTTATTTTGAATCGAATAGTATTAGCCTGATTGTCAGATAGCTTATTATTACTAGGTTATATAGGTATAGAACAACATTTCGGACAAATATTTTCTAACCAAGGTCAAAGCTGGTTAAATGCTTCAATAGCTATTATCAGGAATATTACTGTCAGTGTAACTGGGTGCAATGTGATCAGATTTATAAAATTATCAATACTTGTTTACCAGTAAACAATATTTGATATCACACCCCATCAGAAACATAATCAATCGATACGCTATTGAAAGGTCATCATCATTTCTAAGTGTAGTTATCACCTTTGCTAGTAATAGCGAATTCCATCATTATTAGTAACATTTTATGAAGTTTAAACTATGCGTCGGAACTAAATAACTAAGTGATATAGGTATTCAAAATCTCAATTACCCGTCGGACGTCAAGTTTAAAGAATATTGAAGAAACTGTTGTGTTTCCACTTGAGTATATTACTAAAATATATCTATCAATGTAAACCCATTGTGTTTTCAAGAAAAAGAACCGGTCGGAATCCACGTTTCCCCATCACATAGATGCAGTTAACGAAGGTCAAGTGAGTAGCGAAATTCAATGATTGAGGATTTATCTGCAAGATTTTCATAGATCTTTCAATCTAATTTATCACTGCCTCCTTCCTTTCCAATCAATATGATTTAGGTGCTCAGTTCTTTATTGAAGCTATTGATCTTTTTGTACCTTTTGGGGTTTCAGTTCACTCACAAGCAACACCTTATCTAAATATGAAGTTTAAAATAGACGTTTCCCCTTTCAGATCAGGTAGAGAGAAGATGAAGTATTTAGCTACTTATTTTACTTGTGAGTAGACAGAGAAATGAAATGTTTTTCAGAGGTGGTATGAAGGGTTTAGCAAAAAGTAGAAAATAAAGTTTCATGAACTACCGGCTACTGTGAATCACGTATATTTAATCCTTAGTTACGTTTTTAATGGAATGGCCATCACTATTTGATAGCTCTTTTCCATCTACTTGGTTGCATTCTGCATTTTTCAGGGGTAATCTAGACTTGTAAGGGTTTGTTATGTTTTTACGAGTTGATCACGGATTGATATCAGTTAGAAAACTCCCTGGTTTTCAATGGTTCTCTAACTGATATCAATCCGTGATCAACTTGTAAAAACGTAATCTAGACTGTTACAAAGTTATACATCTGCTTACTCTCTTCCTTTTTTATAAGGCATACCGAATTTCGACGCTTGGGTATAGCTCAAAGGTAAACATTTATTGGGAGAATCAGGTCTGTGAAATGTTTAGGCAAGATCAGGGCGATAAATTAGTGATATGCTCTGGAGTTCAGAAGTTAAGGAATTCGAATTTCAGAAATCTTGCTGCAAATTTCAATGATAATTGTTTTTGATTAGTAGGAGGATTTCATCATAAGCTGACATCAGTTAGAGAACCTGGGAGTACTGGACAGCAGTTTCGTCTTAGTTTGGGACTCTTCATTAGCACGCACACACCGTCATGGTTCGAACCCAGTACCTTCCAGTTGCAATGCTAGTGAGCTCGTTGACCATTGAGCCACTGGGACCCAACCCAATGGCCACTTAATGAATTCCAACTTCTGCAAATTCAAGACATAGCGCTACCACTTCGCAATGTGTTCTTCGATGAGTTACTGCCTCACCTTCGACCTGCCGTATCCCACTAATCACGGCTTTCCACTAGAATCCCAGGTAACTGCCTGAATAGGGTACAGTTGCTGGTGAAGTCAAAAGTACAGAAATGATGCCAAACACATCATCTGCTCTAAGAGTCAACAGTGGAATATGATTATTACAAGTTGGAGATCATAATTGTGAGTCCGTAACAACTAACAGTCTTTGCATCTCATAAGTGACACTGCAAGCCCAATGGATGATGCTTTGGTGTTTGAAGATAAAAAAATTTCTGATGCTGGGCGCCATTTTTAATACAGTTGCTCTCTGAGATGCATGTTCATCCATCTGACAACTCTTGAATAGAATGAATTCGCCTCAATTTTTGTTATTAGTTTTTTTCTATATTGAATAAACTGAAATGAATTATAAAAAAAAAATTAACGACATTTCTTGTAGATATATGTATGAACTTTTGATCCATATAGTGAAGCGTGATGATTTAGTTTATTTGTGTCCTTTTCTTTCATCTTCCCCATCTGTGTTTATAATACTGATGTTGCTATTTTCATTGTTAGTGAATCCCACTTTATTCTTCATCTTCTTTTCCTTTTTCTTCACTTTTCACTTTTTAAAAAAAAATGTATATTTGTTTATTTTTATTTTGATGAAACAACAAAATGATAATTAGAATCAACTTAGAAGGGTAATCGATGCAATGAAGGAGACACCTGTAATTAAAGGTCAAACAATTATACGACAAGGTGAAGATGGTGACTATTTCTATATAATCGAAAGGTGGGTATAATTTTAATTAAAAGGCAGGTAGTGCATATGTATATACAGAGAGCGAGAGAGACGAGACATAGATAGTCTAAGAGAAAATATTCAGTTTTAATTTTTCCTATTAATTAAATGACACATATTTTTTTTAATCTAGACTATGAATTTTGTTTACATGTCATTTGAAATTATTATTATCATTTTTGAACTGCTCTTTTAAAAAACTAGTCAGTTGACTGTTCAGTAAAAACATCTGGGAAAGAGGTCACTTTTAACAGCTTTTCAAAAATGAAAGATAAAAGACACTCAGTAAACTTATCAGCTGAATTTTAGATTTTCCCGTCGACTTACTGGACTGAAGTGCTCGGTCTCAGGTTTACATGTCGGCTTCTTGTGCAGATGCTTCAACAATGCCTGGGCATTTAATTCGAATTCAGTTGGTGGATGGTGACTAGCAGGGGAGTCCAGGATGCTCATTTCGTCCTATTTGGGACTTGTCATATGGATGTGCCTGCATCCCCCAGTGAGTGATGATGTTCCTAAGTATATATAAATAACGCTTTGGCGTTTGAAACTATGGGCACTGGATTTGAGCCTCAGTGGGGACATCATCACTCGCTGGGAAATGTAGGCACATCCAGATGATGAGTCCCGAATAGGACGTAATGCGCATCCTGAAATCCACTGTTAGTCACCATCCACCAGTTAATATCATACTCAGTAAACGTTTAAAAGGACTGACAAGGAATAAAGGAACTTTCTCTTCGATAACTTTTGCATGAGATTATTTTTTCATTTATTTATTTTTGATTACAGCTTGATTCCACACTGTATTTTTTGTACAAGTATGGAATTTTCAGCATGGATATCGGTAGTCCAAATTTCGCAGGCCGTCCATAGATATCAAGGTGTGCGTCAGCGGGGGATCGAACCTCGGACATTATGCATAGTCGGCGAGAGTCCTAACCACTGTACCACCGACGCACACATTTATATATTCAAAATATTTGAAGAATTATTGTTATTAACGCGTGTCGGTGGTCCATTAGCAAAATTCTAGTCAACCATATACGTGTTCCGGGTTTGAATTCTGGCTTACGAACTGCTAAAACCTCTGCTAGTAAGCACAGTAAAGATGAGAAGTTGGGTATACAGGTTCAGAACCCCACTTCCTTCAAAAATAAACAATACCGTTACTAAAATTTTACAGCCTCAGGTTCCACTCCGAATGCAAAGGGATGAAGATGATGGTTGCTATTAACAGAACATGTGCCTTCAGATAAAGGCGTATCGGTAAAAGCTGGTTATACTTTGTCATACCTAGTGTAAGTAGAGGGAATGATAAATGTTCAGAGACTTTTCGGCGATAAGAAATGTTATTTCGAAGAAACCTGTGTTAATAATAAGCTATAAGTAAGCAAAATAAGTGCCTTCGCTCTATACAGAAGACCGAATGGCCAGCCCAGAAAGAATTAGGTACAAGAAACTATGGGAACAAATGAACCAAGAAGCTGTTGTTCAACAAATATATGGAAATATGTATGTATTAGGCACAAAATGCGGAGGCCATTGAATGACATCGCGGGCAATGCAGGCCATCACTCGAATGGAATCCAAATGGGAAGCGACGAGTGGATCATCCTAAGGTGACATAGAGGAAATGAGAGATTATGAGCTATCGTGGACTCAGCTAATGAGGATAGCAGAAACTAGAAGAAAGTGTAAATGTGTTGCTAAAGCCACATGTTCCACTCGGAACACAAGGGAACAGCAATACAATAATAATAAAAAGTGAATGACAGAATCCTCAGACTGTTTTATTATAAAATATTCAATCTGTATGCAGAACTTTCAAGCATACCGATATAAGAAATCGTGTCACTTAATGTAAAGTTTCAAGTAAACCAAACTGCTACCCCCGCCCCCCCTTTAAAGAATTTTTCTTGAATTTTTTGTTCTAACAATTCATGGGTATCTACTGAAAATAGAAAGATCGCAGTTATTTTGAAATTCTAGTAACGATGATTGAATAGTTGATGCTACAACTATGCAGAAAGGCTGTTTATTTTTCTGACCACACATGGATTCCTGACTTCTTGTAATTTGTTCACGATGCATTAATAAATGCATTTGGAGACATGTGAGACATGTATTATTAATTAATTACTGAAATTAATTTGCTTCATGTGCATTAGGTTTACAACTTGCTTCTTGCTTATTCTTTTATTTTATTATCAATTCCTTTGTTTTACTGTCAATCACCATAATTTCTATTGGTTTTCTTGCCTCATTAAATATTGTACAATTTGAAAGGATAACTGTTAATTTCTAATTCATAATGCAATCATGTATCACTTAAAAAAACCTAATATCTTAATAAGTGTGTGTGTACAGTTATGGAAACAATATTACTTCATTTTTAGAATGAGTATAAAAGTGTTTGTAAATATTCGGTAGACTGAGAAGTTTCAGGCTTGATCACACGTTGACATCAGTTAGGGAACCGTTGAAAACCAAGGAGTCCTAGAAAGCTGTTCCGTCCTAGTTTGGAACTCTTCAGCAGGTTCGAACCTAGAAGATTCCAGTTACAAGGTGATCTTGTAGGCCATTCAGTCACTGCGACCCAGTCCAGTGGCCCATGGTTTCTAACTGTCGTTTCAGCAATTGACATTACTGCAGTCTAAATCATACTAGATCGACTATACTATACTATTAATCTAAATTTATCATTGAATTTGTTTTGTTCCAGATGTTTAGAGATATCGATGAAGTAGTCTCGTATTATGTTTTTATGCTTTTTAACTTCTTTAAAGGAGAAATAAAGCCTTTTATAAGCTAACCGTTACTTCATCTGAGACTCCTAAATATATAATGATAAGTGGGACTCCTAAGTATGTACATTTAGCTGGGAATACTTCTGAATTAATATCATCCTGTTGGATTGATTAGATAGCCAATGTATTTACTCGTCCCAAATTTTTTCAGTGAAGTTTCTTAGTCCAAACCTGACATTACGTAAAAAGAAAACGGTGACATAGTTCAAAGCAGCATCATGTTACTTGGCTTTATTTAATGCTCACATTGTACAGTTAACCGATATATTTTGATCTGAAATTTATAAGAGCAGGCAACTATTCTGGTTGCCATCTGACATCGGATTGGTTTCATGTCTTACGCTCTCTAAAGCCGATAAGACCACAAAGAAACAGTGAATAAAACTCAATCTTAAAACTGAATTTAATTCAACAAGTGAAAGTGTTCTCAACACATTTCACTGTCTCCAAAGTCAACTATCGAGATGTGTGGGATAATTTTTGTTTTATGTAAGTGTGCTGAACGGTTTTCACTCAGTACAGTTACTTATATGACGTACTCTAGTAAATGACTGAATGAGTTTTCAGGATTGATCATAAAGTGACTTCAGTTGTAGCAACGTTAGAAACAAGGTATTACTAGACGCGTGTTTCGTCTTTACTTGGGACTCTTCAACAGAACGCGCTAATGACTCCACTAAAGGTCAAATTCAGTATCTTCAGGTTACGAAGCGAGCTCCTAGACCATTCAGATACTGGGATGGAATCTGAAGGCCCATCAGTTCCAAATCCTGCTAGTTTACGATAAAATGAAAAAAGTCAGGTAAAAATGTTATCAGTGTTTGATGTGTGAATTCATCATGAGTTTCCTTAACTTCAAAGAGATGTGCGGTGAAACTATCTTTTACAATGTGTGAGATAACTCTGACAACTATTGAGTTATAAACATTGTGACCAATAGTGAAAATGCAAGGTTTGAGTTAATTCAGAAATAAACCATTTCTCAATTTAACACTCTGGAAACTACGTTTTCTTATGAGTTCTGTAACCAAACTGTCGTCAAACTGTACTTTCATTGAGAGGCAGGTATTCTGCCCACATACATGCAGCGTTGTCCGTGCTGTAGTGAGAAAATAAGTGTTTATATAAAAATCTCACAGTGTTATACAGTTGTATTTACTGATGTCCATGTTTCGAGCACAATTTATTATTGCTCATAATCATATCAAGGTACTCTCACAACCTTCCAACTTTGTTTATATTTTTCCATTACTTTTCATCACTTGATTTGATTACTAGTGGTATTTTCCATATTTCTGGTATTTCAGTGATGAATCATTCCTATTGTACGTGTTGGGTGTTGATAATCCTATGCAGCAGTACGCATTTACCTGGGTTCGACCCAGGATCTTCTCCTTACGACCCAAGCTCGTAAGTCATTAGGCCACTGAAGAGTCCCAAACAAGGGCGAAATATCTGCTCAGTACTCCCAGGTTTTCCAATGGTTCTCTAAATGATATCAGCTTATGATGAAATCCTCCCACCAATTTAGAAAAAAGCTTAGCAATTGTATCGCATGAATTAACACACAACCACACAATAGGGTGGGACAGATTCAAAATTCTAAAAAGTAATATAGGTAGGTGGAGATGGAGGTATATTATTGAATCTTTCTGCATAGAGTCTACACCCCATACATGCGATAGGAATGACTCATCATTCATACCAGAAATATAGAAAATATTACTATCAATCAAATCAAGAGATGAGAAATGGTGGAACCATATAAACGAAGTTGGAGAGGTTGTGTGAGTAACTTGATGTGATTATGAACAATAATAAATTGTGCTAGAAACGTCGTCAGTAAATATAACACTGTATGACTTTATCAAAATAAATTTTATCCACAATTGAATTATGCTCTATCACAGTGCACAAGTTCTATTCTCATATCAGTGTTACAAATCTCAGTCATAAATAATATAGTTTTTCAGTGAAATATAGAGCAACTCGAATGAACTCGAAGTGGAATTGTTCTCGTGTTTGCAATCATGATCAATTTATTTGACCTATTTCCGTCTTGTGGGCTGATGACTCTATATATCATATGCATGTATATATATATATATATATTGTATATATATTCATGTATAATATTTCTTCTTCATCAACATCTGTCCTGATTACTTAAAAAAATTAGAAAATATGCCTATCTGATATTATTTATTCAAGGGTCATGTGATGCGATTGACCTCGAGCTTATAGTAGGATGGTTATATTCATCCTTCACGGGTTGAAAATGACAATAAGTCTGGTGGTAGATTTTAGGATAGTAAAATCTAGAAATATTTGTAGGATAGTCTGGGGGGAAAGAATGCACAAATTTCTTAGTCTAAATCTTTCGAAAACTGACTGTTTGTTGTATAAACTGTTCTTGCGTGAAAGATTCACTTCACTGCATTGATTTAAAATTATTCTAATTCATTTATTCAAGAATGTGTCTCAAACGACTTGATATATTTTATTCTCTCATATTATCATGACGGGCTGAGTTAAGCTGGTTGCATTTATCTTTCTTAATTAGTTTGTTTCCACTTTTTTGTCATAGACTTAATTCATATAGTTTTTTTAATTTCCTTTACGTTCCCAATGGAACATAGGGTCTCAAGATAGTGGCTTGAAGTTTCTGTAGCAGTGCTTAATTTTACAGGATGGGGTTGCTAACCTCATGCCCAACCTTTCCTCTTTACCAGTCTTATTACTGGTTTAGCGAGGTAAAAAAGTGCATCGGCCGGAGATCAAACCCCGGACCGTGTGCAAGGTCGGCGAGCGTCTTAACCGCCGTGCCATCGACGCTAAGAGGAGGTGGTCTCCACGCGCGGACCGGGCTCTCATGTAGCCACCATTCACAGGTGCTGCCCCGCTACCGCACCACGCGGGGACTTTTGCCTGCTGGGTTTCCCCCTGGGCCGGTGCACCCCTCCTTAGTCAACCTGGACTACCCGTCCTCCGACAGGTCATCCATATCTACGCCGTGTTTAGAGTGGACGCCCATTCAACATGAGCACACATGTGTCAGAATTCCCGGTCCCGCTAAATTCCGCACCCTGGCCTCCAAGTAGCTAGATTACAGGCGTACGCCACCACGCCCAGCCTAATTCATATACAGTTGAAATTAATTATATCCTTGGCGAATCAAGATAAAAGAATGTGAGTTGTGCTATTGCAATTTACTAACAGTGTAACCATACATACATTTATAATGTATTTTGAAAGATTTCGCTTTTCAAAATAAAGTACTACATAACCCTGATTTTTCTATTTAGCGGAAGTTACGACATTATTATCAGTGATGAAGTGATTGGAAGTTATGCTGGATCTGGTTCATTTGGAGAATTAGCACTTATGTATAATACGCCTCGTGCTGCTACAATTATCGCTAAAACAGATGGTATACTATGGTCTGTTGACAGAACAACATTTCAACACATCGTATTAAGACAAGCATTTCTTAAACGACAACTTTATGAAAATTGGCTGTCTTCAGTTCCACTTTTAGCAAGTTTAAGTGCCTATGAACGTGCAAATTTAGCCGATGCTTTAGGAAGTCATACTTACGAAGATGGGGCTTCAATTATTCAAGAAGGTGAACCAGGAGAAGAAATGTATTTTATTGAGGATGGATGTGTGGAAATATCAGCTAAAAACTGTGTAAGAACCTTTTTATTTATTCATGAGTTTATAAGTTATTTTTCCCTCAAATAAAGCTGTGCTTATTACTTCAAAATTTCATGCATGATACACTATTTTTTATTCTTTTAGTGTATACCACAGTCATCCAGTAAACGGATGAAATGCTCTTAAGCACATCCTCTGCAAAACTGCTGTTGTTATTTAAAGATCAGAAAATAAGTGGCTTTTATTAATTAATTTGAAATTAATTGATTGGAGGAATTTATCATCAGCCGACATCAGTTAGACAGTACTGGAAAGATGTTTCGTCCTGATCTGGGATACTTCATCAGTACGCACCCATTGAGGTTCGAACGCAGGAACTTCTGGTTACAAGGTAAGCTCGTAGACCATTAAGCCGCTGGAACCTGATCCAGTGGCCAGTCCATGAATTCTAATGTCTGCGTACTAATGAAGAGTCCCAAACTGGGACGAAATAGCTGTCCAGTACTCTCAGGTTTTCCAATGTTTCTCTGACCGATGTCAGCTCACAATGAAATCCTCCAACCAATTAAAACAAATCCTCGAAAAACCAATACCTAAGTTAAATTTAAACATCTCTGTGTAACCTTATCTTTTAAGTCACTTTTACGGTTGGCAGTGCAACTCATCACATTTCGTCTGAATAAATAAAATTCCTCACATTCACATAGCTTGGTTGGGATATACTACACAATCGAATGATATCTAATGGAGAAGATTTGTAGCTCAGATGGATGATTTTGATGTGTTTGTGTACTCTGAACTGGATTGTGTATTTACGAAGCTCTCATTATCTCACTTCAGCGCATGCTTCAGCTTAAAGTAGACTTCAAATTCAAGTATGCACTGAAGATTGTTGCCTAGTAGGATAATGAGAGCATCGTAAGCAAACCTTCCAGTTCAGAGGATATATTCACATCGAATGATATCTTTTTAGTATGCATAAAATGGATTTGTCCTTTTTCTCTTCATTTATTTGATTTATAATGAGGTAAGTGGAACTGATCATATGGAATGTAGTAATTCATTCATTTCACAGGTTTTAAAATACTACTTAATTCCTGTATAAGTGACTTGAAATAGTTCTTTTGAGATTTATTAAACATGAATAACTAGTGTTTTTTTAAATTTTTAGCCAAATAATATAAAAAATTATTGTACAGCTGGATATTGATTGACTTCATCTGAAATGAAATAAAAAACAAACATCACGTGTGTTTAGGTTACCACGAATTGCATCCTTTTGATTTGTTATTGAAGGCTAATCAATTCACAGAAAAAATATATATGTATATATATTTTGGAAAAGTCCATTGATACGGTAGCATCACATGAATTCTTGTCAAATATTGATAATAATAACTTAAGACAATTTTGTTCCTCATGTGCAATTCGGATGTTATTATTATTCCCTTGGATCCGCAGTATAACACTTCCACTGAACCCTATTTCCTGTGGTCGTATTTATCTAGCTCAACGATCGGCCATATGCTCTCATTTCTTCCATGCCACCTTCGGATCTATGCTCGGCTTGTCGCTTCCTATTCGGGCTCCACTCGAGGGGCTGTTTGGCGTGTGATGCGACACCCAGCCGTCTCCTCATTGTATATCAAATCTACCTCCATTCCTTTCCGCCCCACCTAGTCTATTAGCCTGTTCTAACCTGAAGAAAAGAGGGGATTTAAGGTGTTGAATTAGTTACCTTACACCAGAAAATGAATCCAATCGCTACAGGAATTTCAAAGCACAGGATATGTCCTAATGAACAGCCCTAATTCCAGCTTCACGAAAAAGAGAAGCTGATGGGCAAGTATACTTCATCAAAAGTTCTCCCGCTTCTAGCTTTTGCCTGAGAATGTTTTTAGCGACTGATAATAGCCATTGTTAGTTGAAGATAAGATAGTTGCCGCCTACAACCACTCGTATTCACATGTAACCGGCAGTGATTCCCATCTATTACGAAATAGATGCTCAAATTTCTCTAGACATGAATATTAGATGAGAAATGATAGTATAGCAATAGAAGGCTTTGTGTTGATAATAATAGATGAAAAAGTAGTTCTCTATCCTTCATTAACAAGGCGTAGACAGAATTTTAAGCCTCATTTCAATTAGGATGTCTGTAGTTGTACTTAAAATTTTGTTGATTTGTGTTTCAGTTAAGCAATATTCCACAAGGTTTTTAAAACTTTATTTATTTTCTATTTAAGATAAAAACATGTAATAAATGCTAATAAAGCGGGGTTTTTAATGTATTCACCAGGTTTCTGTAGAAATCTTAGGCTGAATACTGTATATGTGGCGTTATATATATATAGGGAGGAGCTTGACTAATAAAAAAGCTATGGTGAATCAATTATGCAAGACAAAATGTGAAAATATCTTATAGAACAAGTTCAGATAAACAAAGAGGGAAGGTGTGTGCGAGACTGGAATTCAATATTATTGTTCAATTAGGTCACCATAGTAAACAATACGCTATCAGAAAAAGAACTTGAAGATTCCAGAAAAGAATGCACTCAAATTGATGTAGGTATTCAGAAGTGTAAAGGACTACCAACCAGTTTTTTTCAGCAATGTTGAAGCATACTCATAAATATTATGCAGTACAAGTTTGTAGCCTAACAAGTTATTCTAATGACTTTTTCAAGGCTTTGTTTGACTACATCATCTTTAAATGGCGGGTTGATACACACATCATTATTTATTTAAATGGCAGAAAAAACTTCGTACAATATGGCACCAAGAAGGATGCGCCACACAATAATAATAAAACAACATAGATCAAAAGTAATATATATATATATATATATATATATATATATATATAAGTAAAGAACGGATAAAGAACTTCATCTGGAAGGAAGACAGTCATGCTTAACAAGTTCAAACAGTATTCGTTAACTATCATCGGGAGGGGAAGAAAGAAGGAAATTGCAACACGTTCGTCATTGATTAGGATTCTTGGCCATATCCAATAACGTTTCGAGCTATCTCGCGGATCTCAATCAGGGAGTCGTTACACACCAACCGATGTTAATCTAGCACGAAAATCCTTCATCCGACGACGCCACATCATGGACTGACCACCTCTCCGCCTTCTCCATCTCGTTCCAGGGCTGGCTAGCGAACGGAGACCGGTATGTAAGCCTCTGATGTGACATTCGTAGCACATATCCAAGCCACCGGAGCCGGTGTTTCCAGATGACGACACTCAATGAATGGTGATCTCCACTGTGTTCAGACACACGCCGCCGAACCTCAGAATTACTCACGCGATGATGCCATCGAACGCAAGCAATCCTGGGGAGACAGAAATGATCGAATATACAGAGCCGCCGCACATCCTCAGCTCGGAGAGGCCAGGTTTCACAGGCGTAGAGCAAGACAGCTCGCACCGAAGCATTGTATACCCGACCTTTGACAGCCAGTCTAACGTCACGACGGCGCCATAGGTGGCTCAAGTTGATGTATGCCACCCTAGCCTTCATTATACGGTTGGAAATCTCATCCGTCACTCCTCCGCCAGCGCTCGCACAACTACCAAGATACATAAACTTATCAACAACTTCAAGCGGTCCACCCGCAAGAGTGAGTGCAGGTACAGACTCCTGCCAATCTTGTAGCAGTACTTTGCATTTAGACGGCGCAAAACACATACCATACTTACAGACACTGATTGCCAACTGATTAAGTGCGATTTGGGCAACCTGCATGCTATCGCACAGTTAAACGATATCGTCTGCATACTCGAGGTCGAAAAGTCTATCTCCAGGTAGCAGATCTACATTACCTTCACTCATATCCTTCAGAGCTGACTCCAGAATGTCATCGATGGCAAAGTTAAAGAGAAATGGAGAGATTGGACAACCCTGTCTAAACCCACTGTTGGTTGGGAAACTGTCTGGACATTTTATTGGCTTTTATTTCTTCAGAATATTTACTGATTCATACCTCAAGACATCTATTTTAGAAAGAATAACTTTCAGGGTCTTTATTTAATGATTAGTTATGCTGAACAATGTTCTGGTTAGGTTTTATTTATACCAAATGGAAACAGAGCTCCTAGAGTGTAGATATTGTCTTCTCCATGAAAACCTTCTAAATATGGATTTACCTATTATGCCATCAGTTCTTTTCACCAGAAAAATACCTAAGAATCTAATAGCATCATTTTCTCATGTCTCCTCGTGAAGCTAAGATCAGGATAGCATGAGGTGAATTTCGTCAATAAGTTTTCTGTCTCTAGTTTACTTTCACAGCCAATAAAAGCATCATCTGCATGTCCTAAATACAGTTGCATTTATTGTATTTACTTTCTTAATGTGCCAACTGCTAGGATTGATAAGGATAAGTCATCAGAAAGTGACTCCCACGGGTTTCCAACTGCAACACCATCAACTTGACAGAATGTTTAATGTTTAAGATTCACGTCAAGGTCATCCCTCAATCAACATTAGTTGATCACTGAATTGTTCAGTACTTTGTTGATCTATTTCACGCATTTTTAATGTATGAATACGGTATGCAGATGCAATTTTTACTCTTCTCTGCCTGTTTAAATGTAACTTCAGGAAAGATTCAAAGCTAAGTAGTCAAAAGAACAAGAGAAAATGGGTTTTTAGAACATCTCAAGAATATACAAAGTTTTCGGTAGCCATTGAGTTACCTGTATTTTCTCGTTCTAAAGTTAGGCAGCAGTTCTTCTATACGGATCAGGAACTTGGCGGGTGGGTCACAAAGAATATTTCCAACAACCTGTTGCAGACCATCATCAACCAACAACTGTCTTCGCTCTATACTGAAGATCAGATAGCTCGGCCGGAAAGAATCACCAACAAGAAACTATGGCTGGGAACAAACAAGACAAGAAGCAATCACCCAACAAATAAATATGCAGGAGAGAGTGGAGATGGATTGATATACACTCGCTGAGGAGGCCGCTGGGTGACATCGCGCGCGCGTCAGGCCATTGCTCGAGTGGAACCCGAAGGGAAGCGGTGATTGGGATGTCAGTGCAAGGGTGACATGGAGGAGATCGTGTGAAGAGGAGTCGCAACAGTATGGACTAACATGCATTGATGCAGGTGAAAAGTATAGCAGAAGACAGAAGCAAGTGGAGACGTGCAGTTGAAGCCCTACTTTCCACTAAGAATCCAGGGGAACAATGATAAAGTAAAGCAGCATTGAAAATGCGTACCGTACTTCAAAATGGGGCTTCTGTCGCTAGCTAAGATGCCTACAATAGACTGAATTATCAGATCAATTTTACGCGAATGATCTGATGACTAATGTAAAAATGATGTCATATAGATCACGAACTGAACGGCAGAATTATTTTACCACACGAAACTAGATCTTGATGTGTAATATAAGTCTTCTGTAATAAATATGATGTTAGTGACAATAAACACGAAAACGGAAGTAATAGTAAGGAGTCTATATACGTATATTGTACAGCTGTTATGTAAATGTCTTGAGGTTAGGTTATTTTAAACTGTTTAAATAAGTATTCCTTCTAAGCGAAACCTCTGTGCATTCGGCAGTTAGAATTTTATTTGGAAAAGCTCAGTGTTCCTCATTTTCTCTTTGCCTAAAAATTTGTATTGGTGAGTGCCTTCCATAAAAAAAGGTTACATTAGAAATTATTACGAGATGACGATTAAATGAATGCATTTCGAATAACAATAGGATATGAAACACAAAATAATTGAGCAAAGAATATGCTTTTCGATAATTTCCTCTTCTGACTTCACACTTATCTGTATGTTTAAGTACATATAATATTCTGGAATAGTAGTCAATAACAATATTAGTGTCTTTTAAAAAATATCGATTTACAAAGTAAGATCAATGAAATCACAGTTCAGGTAGGTAGTTACCTGTGGCGCCAGTAGGAAGTCGCGACGAGTAGGGTGCAGCAGGTCAGGTGTTAGGACAAATACTCGCCGAAGACATCGGCTAGCGGTTGCGCCTTATCGGAAATTGGAAGGAGCTGGAATTCATGGACTGGCCATTGGATCGGGTCCCAGTGGCTTAATGGTATACGAGCTCGCCTTGTAGTCAGGAGATCCTAGATTCGAACTCTGTTGGTGGGTGCGCACTGATGAAGAGTCCCAGACTAGGACGAAACGGCTGTATAGTACTCCCTGCAGGTTTTCCAGTGATTCTCTAACTAATGTCAGCTCATGATAAAATCCTGTAACCAATCAACCAAATCCCTACAAATCAATACTTGAATAAAAATATAATAGCAAACAGAATATCAACTAAAATTAGGGAAATTTCTACAAATATTGAGGATTATTTGAACCCAGATGGCCAAGGTAAGGACGATGTCTGAACTATCTTCTTTTGGACGCATAAATTAGTCTTCTTAATGCGGATCCCAACAGGCAGCCTCAGCAATGTTTAGTAAGCGAATTCTTAAGGCGAATTTAAGATATGTTGGTATGCGGTAAGTGACCTTGAAAGCCGCCTCGTTGACATCAGTCTTGTGTGTATCTGTATCCAAAAGATGAGGTAGAGTAGCGCTACGAATAGATTTTGTTTCTCCTTTACTTAACCAAGCAGGCTGATGTTGGAAAATCTGACGAGAAACACGCCTAATTGTACGGCCTATGTAACTGGCTCTACATGAGCAGCCATTTAACACAGCTCACATTGGATGAAAGACAAACGGATTTTACTCTTGATATATTTTGGTAAAGATCAGTAGCAGTTTGAGAACTTCAGCGTACACCCAGTCTGTCTGTTTCCGTCATCTACATTTATAAGTAGTGTTGTATCAATTTATGTTTTCTGTGTGAGAAGTTTCGTACACCGTTCATTTGTTGTTGTAGCATTATTTCATTTTAATTATAAAATGCAAATAGTTCGTACGAGTTGATCACGGATTGATATCAGTTAGAGAACCATTGAAAAACAGGGAGTACTGGACAGCTGCTGTTTCATCCTAGTTTGGGAATCATTGGTAGTACGCACCCACTGAGGTTCGAACCCAGGACCTTCCGGGTACAAGGCAAGCTCGAATACTGCCGATGATTCCCAAACTAGGATGAAACAGCAACTGTCCAGTACTCCCTGGTTTTCAATGGTCCTTCAACTGATATCAATTCGTGATCAACTCGTAAAAACAAAACTAATCCTTAGAAACCAAACTATAAAAAACAAATTGTTCTAACGTTTTACTTAACATTTCATTCGTATATGCTTTTATAATTATTGTTCACGCTAAAAAATTAATGCTGTTTCACTAACAGGCGGTTGACTGACGTTAAAACAATCCTGTTTATTCAATACAGTTTTGATCATTCGAAGAGTTAAATAATCATAGTAATTGAAGTACAACTGTTTGAAGATTTTATTATTTTTATGAAATAAGGTACTTAAGGATAATTGACTGTTCACATGCATTTATAAGGTGAAATATCTTTCTCTTTAGATAATGATTTGTATTCCACTGATGTTATCAGATTATTGTTATATAGTTTAACATAAATATTAGACTTTAGAACAACACATGTTGACTAGAAAAAAAAATATTGTCTTCATTTAGATCTTCTCTTTAGGCTTTACCCCTAATATACATAACTTTACCAATAAACATCATAGATAAACCAATCATGATGATTTATAAATAGAATGGTAAAATGGTCATAAATTTTGCATTTAGTTATGATAATTATACTAATGATAATAAAAGTAATTCTATCGATAACAGTGCTGAATAATTGATAAATCTACGATAATAAGAATAATGAATACTATGTGCTAACACAAATAAATCTTCATAACAGACATTGTAGATAATACCTTGGAAAATAAATAACAATAATATGTAATACTAAATTGTAAGGGAAGTGGATAAACAAGGTTTTAATGAGAATGCAGTCAAACTAAGGAAGGATTGATAAAAATCAGTTAAAAAAAATCAGTCACTACAAGTGGTTACTTAAGTTTTAATTGAAAATGAAATGAAGAAGGCCTGTATGACTTTTTATAGACACTGTTTGGAATGATTAGTTTGACTACCGATAACATTAGCTGTATGCAGTAGGTAGATACGAAAGCCACTAAAAAGATTCTACAGGATGTGACGAATCACGTTGAACGCTTTCATTTCGTCCACTGAATGGGCAGCTTTTCAACGATCCTAAATTGTTCAATTCTTTCACAATAGTTGATTCTGTTGGCAGGAGAGTGATTGTATGCAGATGTTGTGGAAGCCCCTTTAAAGTGATAAAATGTTAGTTTTGAAAACAAAGTCTGTCATTACCGAATAATGGTTAGATTTGACACGTCTTTCATCTGCACAACACTAGTAGTCAATAAGAAGGAAGACAAAGGAACTGAAAAAAATTAAACAAAAATTAGAATCAAAGATTTAAAACCTGCTAGGATGAAAAGCAGGGGTTGGTTTAAGTTCACTGGACCCTGAGTAGTAGCGCTGAGGTCATTGTTATCTGACTGGTTGCACTGTATGAAGTCGATTCACTTACGTAGCTCAGATCAGAACTCAGTGACTGAACTTATGGGTATCACGTAGTGGTCTGATCATTCACTAACTTCTTTCAGCTTCTTACTGCCTCCGCTAACATAAAAAGTTGAGATAGATGACCGTTTAATATGCATGATATATGATCAAGCCACTTGGACAGTGAAACTTTACAACATTCTTAACTGTGTCGGGTGGTTGGAGACGATCATCAGAAAGCCCTGGATCTAGGCTTTGCAATCGTCAGAAAATACTATCTGCAACTTTGAGTTAAGAACTGATGGACAATATGTGAGTGGAACCTGTGTCACTCACTACTGCAGTCAGGAATGTTGCCATTTAGCCACTCACCGTCATAGTTAACTACTCGTAAGGCCATAACCGAAATGTTGACACATTGAATCCCCGAGGTGAAATCACTTCCTTCAAGGTTGCAGATATACGTCACTGACACGTACCATTAAACATGAAACCCATGTTCATTGTTATTTACTGACCGCCTGCAACCATCTAACATAAATTCAGAATGCATCACGAAGGCTAGTTATTGAGCCTGTTGACATCACAAGGAGCTTAACTGATGGTTTTCAGCTAGTGTTAATATAAAGGGCTAGAAACATGACATTATTTACTCTCTAATAACCTGGACTGCTCTTTAAATTTCACGCTTAACTTCACGTCTACATAAGATTGTCATATTCAACGCAACGGTACTGTGGGCCTACGTAGACTCTCTAGGTTTCTTAAAATGGAGCAAAACACATTGATGAGCAGTACATGGGATCCTTTTTGTCAATAAAGCACTTCGTTTGTACTATGGAAGGGGTGATTTGGGGAAAGCTGTTTGAGTAGCAAGATTTGTTCCATTAATTCAGCAGAGCTAATGGACATTTTTGAGTAGATGAAATGTGCGTCGGTGGCTCAGTGGTTAGGACTCTCGCCGACCATGCACGTGGTCCAAGGTTCAATCCCCCGCCGACGCACACCTGATATCTATGGTCGGCCTGCAAAATTTGAGCTACCGATATCCATGCTGAAAATTTCATACTTCTACTAAAAATACGGTGTGGAATCAAGCTGTAATCGAAAATCAAATCAAATGGCTAATTTACTTAACCTATGGCCTCTAGATTCCTAAAATGACTATCAGTATCACCAAGTCTTGAGTCAATAATTTAACTTTTGAACGTAGCATACGCTTCCTAAATGTTATTGAATTGTCATATAAAGTCTACAGAAGACTTGACTTCATTAGCTTCTTCCATGACTGTATAGTCTATCAGCTTCAAGTTAACTTAAAGATATTTCAGCAGTGTCCATCATTGTGAAGTGTTTTAATATACTAATGATGTTTATTTATTGTTACCTTCTTTTTGAACTTCAAAATTCATCCTATATTGCGCTTTTTTCTTTATACAGAAAGGAGAAGAAGTTGTCCTCAAACAGTTGCACAAGAATGACTATTTCGGCGGTAAGTAGAATAACTGTCTAACATTTATATTGTGTGCTGCAAATTTTGTTGTGCACCATACATTGGAAAATAATTTAATATATCTATTTATAATACCTGTTGACTACCTTATATAACTGTTGTTCGGCATACTTCTAAAGGAAAAAAAAGTGGTGAGCACTATCGCACATTTTTATAAAGTATCAGTGACTTCTTATTCTCCGTTTGGTTTCAAAAGGGTTGTGAAAAATAACACTTATGGTCAGGTATACATATATATATATATATATATATATGTTGACTGTAGGCGTTGGTTTACTCATAGATAAAACTGCAGTTACAAGAGAACTACACACGTTTCTGTTTATCTGGCGAGGGTATCAGCTCATAAGTTTACAGTCTGAAGACAAATATACTTTCTGCACTGAAAGATATAACCTCAATCAGAGTAATAGTATCGTTTACTTAAGACTAGAAAATAAGCGAACAAATGGAAATATGTCTTGATTTCCTAAGTTCTTAAATTTGGATGCACCTGATTATATACATATGACCTTAAGAGAACTCATAAATCCCACAGGATGTGAAAGTGGGCAAATTATTTGATTGAAAGTCACTCGACAGTCTAAAATACAGTTTGATTATGAGAAAAAATTATATGCATGATAACATTTTTAACAGAAGCGTATCTGACATGCAGAAAAAGATGAGACTTATTAATATACCGCAAAGATCATAATCTTTATAAAGAGAATGTATATAGGGTTAAACAACTTATTATACAGTAGGAATATAAATGTGGTTCGATTTTCCGATCGATCGTTTTAAAACATTGTCCGGCAACCGAATTCCACTGTGATTTCATTCATCACATTATTTTCACTTCGAAATTGGATGAAGATTGGCTGGTATTTCATATGCCGTGTGCCATCAGTCATCTACATTACAGAAAAAGGACTTGTAATGTAAACAGTGTTCTGATTTGTTCTAACTCACTTAAATGAAACCGAATCCCTCCTAAATAGTTTTCGGTATACTGTTCCATGACTTTCCTACTTAATGTCGACGAATAAATTCTTCTCATGGACCATTTGCTAAACAACTTGAATCTTATTTGGAACGAATCATAAATGTCTAGTTTACTTTTACACCAATCACCATGACAATATCGTTTACTTATAACGGTTTTCTCAAACTTCAATTTCAACTATTCCGAATTCAAGTATTGGTTTGTGGGGATTTATTTAAATGGTTGGTTACAGGATTTCATCCTCAGCTGACATTGTTTAGAGAAACATTGGAAAACCTGGGAGTGCTGGACAGCTGTTTCGTCATAGTTTGGGACTCTCCAGCAATACGCACCCACCAAGGTTTGAGCTCGTGGCCTTCTGGTTACAAGGCGTGATCGTAGAAAATTAAGACACTTAAATATCCATGAGGTGCTCACTAGCGACTGGCCATATTCATGCAGCAATTTACCTGGAGTTCTAGTGGGACGTCGTGTTCAGTAGGCTACAGCAGGTCGGGCGTGAAGACAAATGCTCACCGAAGACATTGGCTAGTGGTTGCGCAGTTTTGTGAATTAGCAGAAGTTGGAATTCATGGACTGGGCATTGGATCGGGTTTCAGTAGCCTAATGGTCTACGATCTCACCTTGTAACCAGAAGACCTTCGATCCGAAATCTGGCGGTGGGTGCGTACTGATGAAGAGTCCCAAACTAGGATTAAACAGCTGTCCAGTACTCCTAGGTTTTTCAAGGATACCGAGTTCACTGATCTTATGTACATTATGGACGTTTTGCAGATGAGAATGGAACTTTTGAAATAAAATGTACGCATTAGACATAACAAATCTTACCGAAAATTTTCACAACACAGTCGCTGTACGTCGCATGCAAGAAAGGTGCTCGAATGGATAGTATGACTTTAAAGTGTAATTGATTGATTGAATAGAAATGGCTGGATACCACTCTCATTAACCAGTATTTCCTGATTGTCTCAATGTAAATCATGAACTAATTTACAAATATGGTTTAATTACAGCTTTAATTGTACACAGGTTATTTTTCCTGCTTTTTCTATTTTATCTTAATATTACTTTCATAGCCATCTCTTAAAATAATGATTAAACAAGGGTGTATTGTTGTTCTTGTTCTAATTTGCTAGCTTTTCAAAATCCCGCTCTAGTTACTTGATGCATCACTGATAAATACGATTCGTTTTAATTTTTGCTTTAGAACTCGCATTGATTCTACATGTACCAAGGATAGCTTCAGCTCGTGCAGTCGGCAGAACTAAACTAGCAGGTATGTTTACCAGTTTACCGCAATAATGATCCTATATTTAGTTTGACTATGAGGTTAATATCTTAACTAAGTTTCAGAAACCCCGTTATATATCGTATTTGTCCTTAAATTTTGAAGGAAGCTTGAATTCATCAGTCGGAAGGGGGGAATAAATATCTACAGTTTATACCAGTGTAGTATGTTTTCAAGCAAATTTAGATTAAGTTGTTAACATATAAATTTTATATTGTTTTTTATATGACTCTACAGAATGCTCGATAATCATAAACTTATAAATCTTTATGTTGACTCTTTTGAAATGTACATTGAGTCTTCAGGTTACAAAGAGCTTTTTTGTTACATTATGAAAAATAAATATATATTTGATATCTACACTTGTTGAATCACTTCATCTCATTCTCAATGATTCTTCAAATTCTTATTTCCCTTTCATCACATGACTTTATATGTATTTCTTGCTCTCCAGTGTAAACGTCAATAATTAGAACAAATTAATCACTTAACCTTACTTTAAGAGTAATAACTAACCCCTTACACGTAATAAGAACTTAGTGTAACATATATATATATATATATATACATATATATATATATATACATATATATATATATATATATATACATTGGATCATAGGATTTATTAAAAATACGGTTGCAGTGAAGAAAAGTTTCTTCTCGACGAAGTCATCTACCAGGGTAGGCTGTACATTCGTGTATTTATGATAAGTGGGTGGGAAAGTTCCAGAACAGTTCCCGGTCAAGGGGCAAATAATTAAAATTACAATTAGGAATTCGAACGCCATAATAAACAAGGTGACGGATAGAACTCAAACAAAGTAGCATCGTAATTACTGAGAAGATTGACACATTGTGCAGTTAGGGGGGCTAGAAATGTAGAAATAACAAAAATATAGAAAATCAAAACAAGTGATTCAGCGAAGAGAATCTATTCAACGAATTTATCATCATCTGCATCTCTGAGAATAGCCTTTACTAGTATACCATTATTGTACAATAACCTGAAGGACAAGGTCCCTCTGTTGACCAACTCTGTGTGTTTATCAATTCACCTGCTCGTGTAGAGCTAGGTATATCGGTCGTTCGACTCGAGTTTTGTCCAAGAGGGTGCAAGAACATTATCCTGCATGGCTACGAAAAGGTGGAAGTGGAGCAATAAGAAGCGCGATCATAGAACATCTGGTCGAAAATGATCACCCTATCTCTATAGCCTCCGCCTTTAAAGTCATCTACAAGGCAAAGAGCAATCTACCTAAATCCCTACGTACCCGACTCATCTGTATTGCTGAAGCTTTGGCTATCGAAACAGAAAAGCCAGATCTCTGTGTACAGAAAAAGTTCGTTCAACCCCTCCAACTTTCATGGTCTTAATCCCTCTATGCTAAAATATGGTAATCCCCAATCATATTTTAGCTCTACCAATTTTTCATTTTTCATTTTGTCTATTCAAGATGTATACTTTTCCTTATTATGTCAATTGTTATTATTACTATTCTCACTTTGAACTGTCCCCGGTATTATTTCACTCGTTCCACTAGTCATTCTAAATCAATTCTTTTTTACAACGATAAATTCTATGCTATTAAATTTCACACAATATTACGTAACGTTTTTGTTTTATTCGATTTGCCTACTAATCCTATAATTGCACATCCTTTTTCAAGTTCTATCCCTCCTATGAATTATTCTATATATGACATTAATCTGCTTTGCCACTTGACATTTAACTACGATTATAATCACAAACATTTTAGTTTTAATTGAACTTCATATGATTATTATTATTATTATTATTTTATGCATTCACACCTAAGATTCAATTCACTCACCGGATATAACTTCTGATAAACCATATATATACGACTGTACAGCTTGATGATAAATTCGTTGAAAAGATTCTCTTCGCTGAATCACTTGTTTTGATTTTCTAAACTAACTAACTAACCAACTAACCAAATAACTAACTAACTAAACAACTAACCAAATAACTAACAAAATAACTAACTAGATAACTAACCAACTAACTAAATAACTAACCAACCAACCAAATAACTAACTAACTAACTAACTAACTAACTAAATAAACAACTAACAAAATAACCAACTAACTAACTAACTAGAGAACTAACCAACTAACTAACTAGATAACTAACTAACTAACCAACTCACCAAATAACTAACGAACTAACCAAATAACTAACTAACTAACTAACTAAATAACCAACTAACTAACTAACCAACTAACCAAATAACTAACTAACTAAACAACTAACCAAATAACTAACAAAATAACTAACTAACTAACCAACTAACTAACTAACTAGATAACTAACCAACTAACTAACTAACTAAACAACTAACCAAATAACTAACAAGATAACTAAATAACTAACTAGATAACTAATCAACTAACTAACCAACTAACCAAATAACTAACTAACTAACTAACTAAATAAACAACTAACAAAATAACCAACTAACTAACTAGAGAACTAACCAACTAACTAACTAGATAACTAACTAACTAACCAACTCACCAAATAACTAACGAACTAACCAAATAACTAACTAACTAACTAACTAAATAACCAACTAACTAACTAACCAACTAACCAAATAACTAACTAACTAAACAACTAACCAACTAACTAACTAGATAACTAACTAACTAACCAACTAACTAACTAACTAGATAACTAACCAACTAACTAACTAACTAAACAACTAACCAAATAACTAACAAGATAACTAAATAACTAACTAGATAACTAATCAACTAACTAACCAACTAACCAAATAACTAACTAACTAACTAACTAAATAAACAACTAACAAAATAACCAACTAACTAACTAGAGAACTAACCAACTAACTAACTAGATAACTAACTAACTAACCAACTCACCAAATAACTAACGAACTAACCAAATAACTAACTAACTAACTAACTAAATAACCAACTAACTAACTAACCAACTAACCAAATAACTAACTAACTAAACAACTAACCAAATAACTAACAAAATAACTAACTAACTAACCAACTAACTAACTAACTAAACAACTAACCAAATAACTAACAAAATAACTAACTAGATAACTAACCAACTAACTAAATAACTAACCAACCAACCAAATAACTAACTAACCAACTAACCAAATAACTAACTAACTAACTAACTAACTAAATAAACAACTAACAAAATAACCAACTAACTAACTAACTAGAGAACTAACCAACTAACTAACTAGATAACTAACTAACTAACCAACTCACCAAATAACTAACGAACTAACCAAATAACTAACTAACTAACTAACTAAATAACCAACTAACTAACTAACCAACTAACCAAATAACTAACTAACTAAACAACTAACCAACTAACTAACTAGATAACTAACTAACTAACTAACCAACTAACTAACTAACTAGATAACTAACCAACTAACTAACTAACTAAACAACTAACCAAATAACTAACAAGATAACTAAATAACTAACTAGATAACTAATCAACTAACTAACCAACTAACCAAATAACTAACTAACTAACTAACTAAATAAACAACTAACAAAATAACCAACTAACTAACTAGAGAACTAACCAACTAACTAACTAGATAACTAACTAACTAACCAACTCACCAAATAACTAACGAACTAACCAAATAACTAACTAACTAACTAACTAAATAACCAACTAACTAACTAACCAACTAACCAAATAACTAACTAAGGATATCACAGTCCCTGAAAATAACATTCCCTGCTGCCTCCCTGAGAATAGCTTTTACTAGCCGACCATGATTGTTCAATAACCTGAAGGACAAGATCCCAATGTTGACCAACTCTATGTGCGTTTATCAATTCACCTGCTCTTGTGGAGCTAGGTATATCGGTCGTTCGACTCGAGTTTTGTCCAAGAGGGTGCAAGAACACTATCCTGCATGGTTATGAAGAGGTGGAAGTAGAGCAATAAGAAGCTCGATCATTGAACATCTGGTCGATAATGATCACTCTATCTCTATAGCCTCCACAAGGCAAAGAGCAATCTACCCAAATCCCTACGTACCCGACTCATCTGTTTTGCTGAAACTTTGGCTATCGAAACAGAAAAGCCAGATCTCTGTGTACAGAAAAAGTTCGTTCAATCCCTCAAACTTTCATGGTCTAAGTCCCTCTATGCTAAAGTATGGTAATCCCCAATCATATTTTGGCTCGACCAGTTTTTCATCTTTTCATTTTGTCTATTCAATTTGTATTCTCTTCCTTTATTACGTCAATTGTTACCATTACTACTCACACTTTGAACTGTCCGCAGTATTATTTCACTTGTTCCACTTGTCATTCTAAATCAATTCTGTTTTACAACGTTAAATTCTATGCTATCAAATTTCACACAATATTACGTAACGTTTTTATTTTATTCGATTTGTCTACTAATCCTATAATTGCACACCCATTTTCAAGTTCTATCCATCCTATGAATTATTCAATATATGATATTAATTTGCTTTGCCACTTGACATTTAACTACGATTATAATCACAAACATTTTAGCTTTAATTGCATTTTTATTTTATGCATTCACACCTAAGATTCAATTCACTCATCGAATATAACTTCTTAAAAACCACATATATACGGTTGTACAACTCGATGATAAATTCATTGAATAGATTCTCTTCGCTGAATCACTTGTTTTGATTTTCTATATTTTTGTTATTTCTACATTTCTAGCCCCCCTAACTGCACAATGTGTCAATCTTCTCAGTAATTACGATGCTACTTTGTTTGAGTTCTATCCGTCACCTTGTTTATTATGGCGTTCGAATTCCTAATTGTAATTTTAATTATTTGCCCCTTGACCGGGAACTGTTCTGGAACTTTCCTACCCACTTATCATAAATACACGAATGTACAGCCTACCCTGGTAGATGACTTCGTCGAGAAGAAACTTTTCTTCACTGCAACCGTC